CCGGGCGGCAGCGGTCCATCGCCAACTCCGCCCTCCAGGCTGGCCTCGTTGCCCATGGTGGGCAAGCGGGAGGGCGGGTCCGGGTCGCGCTGGGCCCTGGCTGGCGGCTCCCTGGCTGCTGCTCACACGCTAGGGGCCGCCGCCGCCGCCATCTCCGAGCTCGGCTCGCGCCGCCGCCTGCTGCTGCGCATGCGCGGTCCGCGCGCCCCTTCCCCTCACACTCCCGCCCCCACCCCCGCGCGCTCCCGTCAGCTCGCGAGGACGCGTGGCCACGCGCTAGCCTCGAGGTCGCCGGGAAACAGCCACTGGCGCCTGCGCATGCGCCTTCCGAGGTCAGCTTGTCCAGCGGTAGCTCCTTGCTAGGCTGGATGACAGGATCGTTCCACGGGGTCGGGGTAGCGGGACTTCGGGCCCAAGAAGAGACCTCGAGGCGCCGCGCCTGCAGTGCCCTGAAGTCCGCGGCGTTCTCTGTCCTGGGGCGATCCAGAGTGGGGGCTCTCTCCGGGTAACTTCAGTGCCGTAGCGATGGGCGTCGTAGGGGCAGGCCTCAGGGGCCATCCATGTGTGGCCTCAGAGGATGCGGAGGAGCTGGAAAGCCAAAGGAACAAGGGTGCTCAGAGGCGCAAGGTCGTGAAAGGACGGAGAGTTAGAGGGTGATAGGTGTTGGGGAGGGATTATGAGGGTCCCAAGGTCCAGATGGGGAGGGAAGACGTCCAGTTGGCTGTGTGAACCATTGGAGATTCACAGGGAGGCCTGATCCTACCAGGGCACGACCAGGGCAGACAGACCGGAAGAGGTGAGGGCAGTGGCCAGGCTGGCCTGCAGCCCGGTGGGAGGACACCTCAGCAGGCCTGGGACAGTAACTTTGAGGATGGAGAAAAGGAGTTGATGGTTCTTGGAGGTCTAGAACTGTGGCTCCCAGGGACTGTCTAGGTGAGGGGCTGCAGTATTTCTGCATTCATCTGAAAGTTTACCAAATTACTTTTCTATTCCCTCATGTTTATAGTTTGCACACTGCTCAAATACTCTTCTATCTCCTCACATAAGCCTATGCTTTCTTGAGGGAGAATAATTTCCTAGAGGATCCAGCTTATATTCCATATTCTCGGTGATTTCTTAAATCATGACTGTGTAGAAGTAAGCTTGAGTAAACTTGGACCCATTTTACAAACCCATTTAATTTTCCCTATGATGAGAAGTATATCAGGTGAAATGCCAGCAGTTCTAAACTGACCTGAAATAATCCAGGGATCCTAGCAAACTCTGATAGCTAGTTTGACAGACCGACCAGAGTTGTGTCTGTCACTCTGGGGAGATCAGCCCAGGACTCTGGTTGGGCCTTCTCCTATGCACTCTCAGCTGATCCTCCCACACTCTGGGGTGGAGTGAGCATGAGAGGAAATGTAGGTACCCCACTTCCTGGTGTTTTCTCCTAACTTTACACCTGCTGCCCTTTAAGTTAAGCTGCCTAGACTTGATGTACCACCTGAGGTAATGAGGGCCCCCTTTCTGCATTATAATGGTCCTTGCTGTGTTTTTTTCTGTCCTGCAGGGTATTTATGTCACCTTCAGGAGTGTCTGGTGACTACTATGCACATCTAGTGTAGGCTCCATATGGATTCACATTCCAGCCCCACCGTTTCATGACTGGGACCTTGGCAACTGACTTAGGCTATCCAAACCTCCATTTCCTAGCCTATAAAGTTAGGATAAGGAGCCCTGGTGACACAATGGTGAATTGCTCAGCTGCTAACAGAAGGTCAGTGGTTTGAACCCACAAGCGGCTTTGAGGAAGAAAAGACCTGGTGATCTGCTTCTGTAAATATTACAGCCTAGGAAACCCTATGGAGAAGTTGTGCTCTGCCTACAAGGTCACTGTGAGTAGAATCAACTCAACAGCGCATAACAACAACAAAGGATGATAGTAGTCCCTCTAACATGGAAAATTGTGAGAGTAGAGTGGTCTGGGATTTGAGAAATTTGTGCCATACCTTCACTCCCAGGGAATAGCATTCACATGGTCACTACTTGCAGGCCAGTGGCCTGACTTAGGCCCAGACCAGGCCCTTTTAGCTTCATAGACATTGGTCAATGTGAGTTGGGCTACTTGGAAGGGAGAAGAAAAAGATGTTTGTTTTTACAAAAGCCACAAGAGCTGTGGCTTTCCACAGATGTAAATCAGCATATCCCTGGTTCCTGTGGGGGTAATTAGCCCTACCCAGCCAGCCAGCCTGGGAGTTGCCCTCCTCAGACTGGATTCCCAGCTGTTAGCAGACCTCCAGGGTCTCTGTTGCCTTAGTGACAGGGCTTAAGCTCATTGGACCCAGAAGGAAGTGTGGGTAAGTGGTGCCCCTCCCCTCCTGTCAAACTTTCCCAGTTCCACTTCCTCTGAGAAACATCCCTAGGGAATATGCCTGTCACTCCACATCCAGCCCTGATATTCCCAGGGGCTCCTGCACAACTGCTTTATGTGCTAGCTATGAAGTGGTGCCAGCCTCTGGTCATCTGGGGCTCTGATTCAGTTTCCTATTCTTACTCACTCTAGAGGTTATTTCCTTCCTGTTGCCTTAGATTGGAGGCTCCTCAACACCAGGACCTTGTCTGGCTTATATCCCCTGGACTGGCCTTCATGCCATTCTGAGTGTTTCTCTCACCTGTGCTTCCAAGAGTCTCCTTGTGGCTGTAGCTCCTGCATCACTGCATTTAGGCTATTTAACTAATGAGTTCAGGAGAGGGTACAGAGGTTGCATCTAGAGTTCTTCCTTTTCAGGATTGTCAATGTGCTGTCTGCACTTACCTAGGAGAATTATGCTGGACTATTCTTAATAACATGTGAACAAACCATGGTTTTTCTTCTCAGTTTGTACAAACTAGCTGTGTGGTATGGCTGGTATCATTCCCTCTTGGGTCTAGCTGCTGCCCCACCAGGAACAGGATGGACATGGAGACCCTGCAGGAGTTTCCCAGTCCCCTAAACTTCACTTGGTGAATTTTGAACAAAGGCTGGATGAGAGGAGAATCAGTTCAAATGCCAAAACAGAACTGATAAATGGCCATGTCCACTGTGCTTCTCAAGCCTATGCTCTCAGATACTCTAGAGGCTCAGAGAGAAAATGGTATTAAAAAAAAAAAAGAAAGAAAGAAAAGGCCCAGCCAGAGCCAACTTGCTGCTGGAATTGGTGAAAATGATCAGTCATTGAATGGCAAATCTTAGGGGAATGAAGAGATGGCAGGGACCCAGGAGGCCCCAGAGGCCAGCTGGGCAGTTGGCAAGGCAACATACAAATCAACCATGAGGGACTGAGTGTAGACTCTGGGTTTATTCTGCTTCCCTACACAGCCCAGTTCACTTTGGACTCATGCTTTCAGCATGGCAGCCTCCACAGGGAGGCTCAGGAACCAAAGATGAAGATGCCAGTAGGGGTGAAGAAGATGGCAAACCTTCTTTAGGTAAGAAAAGGAAGTAGAGTAATTGAAGGTGGAAGAGAACAGGGAAGGAGGGGAAAAGAAGGATGACCGAGAACAGTTCTATGTCCTGTCTGTGATGCTCTGTGAGCTTTGTGTCCTTTTTGCTATAGTATTGTTGAGGCCTGTCATACCTCACACTGAGAAGCAACTCGAAAAATTGGCTTCCTGCCCCCACTCCTTCTCTGGGAAGGAGAAACAACTGAAAAGGAAGGAAGGAAACCCAAAGAAACAGTGGCTTTCCTTCCTAACTGAAGTTTGCTGGCACCACCAACTAACACGGGGAATAAGGCTGTTCTCCAAGCAAATCTCAGGCTGGCATGACACTACAAACAAGAGACTTGATTTCTGTCCTGCAGCAGCTCACCTGGGCTGGCCTGGACAACCTTGCTGTGTAGTAGGGCCCTGAGGTGGCCCATGGCGATTGATAGAGTAGGAAAAGGAAACAAGGCTGGAAGGTATAGAAATTGCTCAGTACTTGTCTGCATAATTCTTTTCCTGCTGCAATGTGAAAATCTTACTATCTTACTTGCATTATGTAAAAAACTCAGTAAAAAATCGTCAGAAATGTTTACCACCAGCCTAACCCCACCGCCCATGCATTGCTCCAAAGAAGGCTAATTAAGCCCCATTGCTATGAGAGTTGCATGCTTCTGAAGACTTGTTATGACAAGAAAAAGTAATGAAGCCACAGTTTCTCTAAGTTGTAAGCATCCAAGTCAAAACATGCCGCTTTCCTTGCCCCTCTGCACTCGCACAGATGGGCCTCCAGGCTTCCTTTGTCTGTCTTGCTCACGCATGCAGGCGCTCCTCCTCTCCTTCAGCCAGTGTGTACCCAACTCCTATCCACACAAGGCCCAGAGAAGACTGTGGGGCTTGCCCTCCAGTAGCTCAGTTTTCAGAAGGAGAGAGAAAACCAAGAAAATGCCACCTCAATCCTTATTGCAGTCCTTCCCACTAGTGTCCCACTTCCCACAGTGCCCCCCCCCCCAATCCATGGATGGGGAAAACAGGTCTAGGTGGAAGGTCATGCCTTTGTGCCTTCTCCTGACCAGCCAACAGAGGTTCAGACATGACAGCCCAGGGGAAAGGGCAGTTCACACAGCCCCTGCATCAGGATCGATTCCACATATCTACAGAGGAGCATCTTAGAGGTACCCTGCCTCCTGACCCCTCTGTGGTTCTGCTACTGCAGACTCAAGGACCTTACTGAATCATCCTTCACCACCAGAGATCTTGGGCCATGGGACATAGCCATTCTCCACTGAACAACACCAAGCTCCATCTTTGATCAGAGTAGACTATAATAAGAGAATAACTGATCTCTACTGAGTGCCCAGACAGTTCCCAGAAACTACTGGGAGATCCCCTGCCTCCCAGGAAAAATGAATAGAATGGAGGGTGGTTTGGGTCTCTGAAGGTGAAACAAAATCCTGAAGCAAATAGAAAGGTTCCTTAGGGAGCTGTGGTAGCATAGTGCCTAAGGCACTTGACTGCTAACCAGAAGGCTGATGGTTCAAACCCACCAGCCAGTCCTCGGAAGGAAGATGGGGCAATCTACTTCTGTAGTGATACTGTCGGAAACCCCAGGAGGGGTCGCTATGAGTCGGGTCCGACTCCATGGGACATAACAACAACAACAACATAGTTCCTTAAGCCTCTGTCCAGATGGATGGTTTTAATTCAATTCAAATTGACTGGTGTTTGTTAAGCCCTAGGAAGAGGA